GAAGGAATCGGCGTGAAAAACGATATCTTTCCGTCATCTCCGCCAATGCCCCGACAGATTGCAGCCCGGATGCAATCAAGGATGAATTCTACCACCAGTTATCTGTTCTTCTCCAGAAAGTGCATTCGACAGATATTGTATTACTAGCCTGAGACTTGAATGCTCAGGTCGGGCGTCTAAGCACAGAAGAGAGTCGTTTAGGTGGCCGATGGGGACTCGTTGGTCGCAGAACAGATAACGTTGACCGTCTACTTTAACCTTGCACAGAGCACAACCTGTTTCTGGCTAGCGCTAATTTTCGGCACAGTCATCGCCGATGTGCCACCTGGCGTCCTCCCTCTGCATCTCAAGCCTGGACTCAGATTGATCACGTCGCGATCAGCTACCGCTGGCGTGGTTGTGTACAAGACTGCCGCTCCTTTTGGAGTACCTATCTGGACTCTGACCATGCCTTGGTCTGCGCCAATCTTGCCTTACTTTTCAGTGGACAACGAAGTGACCACCACCAAAAGATTGATATTAGCAAGCTGGTTGCAACTTCTGTTGCAAATAAGTATCGAACCGAGATAGCCTCTAGGCTAGCTACCACTCCACCGAAAAGTATAGATGAGCATTGGTTGCAATTGCATGACGCCATGAAAATGGCGGGTACAGTCAGTTGTGGGTTTGCGAAACGTCCCGCTTATAAGCACTAGGTTTCTTCTTGTTCCTTATGACTCATCGAAGCCCGTCGGTTTACTCCAGGTGACCATTAGTTTGACCACAAACAACGATTATTACGTAATGGATTTGGGAAAAGCTTGCGTAAGGACCGAGAAGCCTGGTGGTCGAGGCGTGCTAATGAGCTGGAAGCAGTAGCTGCATCTGGTAACTACCGGAAGCTCTTCCAACTCATCCGAGCCACTGGCAGCAAGAAGTCTGGTGTGAACGAAACAATCTGCGAGGATGATGGGATGCCAATCACTAACATCCATCGACGTCTTGAACGATGGGCAGAATTTTTCGAAGGGCAGTTCAACTGGCCTGCTGCTCCGGCAACATCGGTCAGACTGTCCTGCCCCCATGGCCGGTGACGACTGATCCACCAAATGAGACGGAAGTCCGCAAGAAACTCTAGCTCTCGAAGCGCTACAAATCACTTGGCCCAGATGACTTACCTCCGGCTCTTTTTAAAGATGGTGGTGACTTTCTGACTAAGGGATTGACGACGTTGTTTACAAAGGTCTGGGAACTAGAGAGTGTACCAACATCATGGAATGAGTCGATAGTTGTCTCTATCTTTAAAAAGGGTTCACGTCGTTCCTGTAACAACAATCGGGGGATAAGATCTGGGTGATGAGATCAATGCACATATAGTGAAAGCCAATCTGGACCATCTTTGGCGCCTTCGTGATGTCAGTCTGGCTGTATAAGGTCGGATTTACAACGCGTCGGTGAGAGCAGTTCTACTCTATACTTGTGAAACCTGGCCTCTCCGGGTTGAGGATGTTAAACGACTCTCTGTGTTTGATCATCGTTGTCTCCGAAGGATTGCTGACATCCAGTTGCAACACTTGTTAGTAATGCAGAGGTTCGGCATCGTGTGTTCGGGCACAGAGACGATAATGCAATTGGTGTCACCATCTTGAAACATCTACTTCGGTGGCTTGGACATGTTCTCCGAATGTCGTCCCAGAGAATTCCACGTCCTGCATTATTTGCCGACTCTGGGACTGGTTGGAAGAAGCGGAGAGGTGGTCAGTACATGACATGGTGTCGTGGCATGAAAGAAAGCTGCAAAGGGCTGGCTCCTGTCGGTCCTTCGCGACTCCCTGGTTGGGGTCCGAGAGATGGTGCAACACATTGGCTAGAGACGTTATCAGAAATGGCTCAGAATAGAAGCCAGTGACGATCCTGTTGTAACCTCCTTTTACGTTTTTCGTAAACAGTGGTCGTATCTTCCTTAACTGAAAGATTTCTTCTGATTGTACATTTCCGTTACCCCATTATTACTATTATCATTATTATTACACTATCTTACACTGATCTGTTAGTTACCGTTTTTTCTCTTCGAATTATCATTGTTCTCTGTGGCGCATATATATCTGGCGCACTCTTGTACCAATATTTATTTGTTCAAATAAATAAATAATAAATAAATAAACTACGGCTGTTTAACTGTTAATTCTGATATGCACCTAGACTTATCACAGCTTTCTACAGTCTTGGGGGACATGGTCATTGGTCTGATTTAGATAATATGCAACAGTTTAAGCTGGACTGCTTGCCTAAGAAACACTACCGTCGCAAGACAAACGCACTCATCCCGATTACATCACACTGTAACAACTTAGGCTGGGTGGTCAGTAGTTGGCCCAAAACGTTTTGATAGTACCAAAACAATATAGCTGAAGTACTTAGTCGCTTCTTTCTTTTGCGTGGGCATTATAATACCTATTGTCTTACATCGAATGGTGAAAGCTTTATGCGCTTGAAACTATGGCCTCGCCTGCCAAATATTCTGCTTCACAATCTGAATAAATTGTACTACATCCACCATTATGATTGATTACAACGTAGAGAATGAGAGGTATTCACCAGCATGAAAGATATTAAGAAGGAAGCTAACAATAAATAGGACGTACTTAACAATTACAGAGTACCTATTATTCAAAAAATAAATATATTTCGAGCTGATGTTCTGTTTCAAGTAGAATTCAGCAGTCTCCAGGTAAAGACGCTTGGTTTTAGAAATGTTTATTCGTTTGTGATCATAAACCAGTCAGAAAATTTTGTACGCTGATGCGTATAATCACCTAAGAATGTTATCGTTGAAGTGGTCCCAAAACTATCCCTCATCAAAACTATTGGAAGCCCAGAAATGCTAGAAAACTTTTTAACCATCCAACTTGAAATAGGATTTTAATAGTAACATCTAGAAAATGCAGAATTATGTGCCCTGGTTTTGATTCGACATTTGTCATTACTGCTGCCGTATTTGGTATGACTCCAGCGATTTCCAGAGACACAAGGTCAGATGTATTTACGTTTTTTCTGTACATAAACTATCCTTGAAGTAAAGATTTTATATGAATTTCGCACCTTATCTCTAGTGCTCCATTTGATGTGTAGAAGTTGCTGGGGATATCAAAACCGGCTGTGAAGTCAGTTTAAACGTGTCTGTAGCAAGACTTATAAACTGGTGACGGTAAAACCACATTCGACGTTACTTTTGACCAAATAGAAGCACACTTAGAGAGCCATGGATACAATGAGGATTAAAGAATTTCCCATGAACATGATGTGTGTCTTAGCCAAACGCTGCACCAAATGAACTGCAAGTAACGGCTACTGCTTCAGTATTCAGCGCCTTTTATGAATTCCACTTTGGTGGTCTAGCTGGTCTTAATTTAATCCTTGGTTCCAGAAATCTGAAGATCTGTTCCAAATTAATTTCTGCAGATTAGATTACTCCTATGAGTCAGAATAATTTTAAGAAAACTGAGCACAACAAAATGTTGATGGAATGGTAATTTCATTCTCCTGGAGAATCTTCGCGATTTTACTTTCTGTGAAATCAGTAAAATTCTATCTCAAATTTTTTAAGAATAATGAAATATGCAGGAACTTTGAATCAAAAATGTGAGAGATAAGTCATCAATTAAGCAATTTCTAGACGAAAAAGAGAAAAATGTAAGAATAAGAGGTACTGCAACGTCATAAGAATTGCCGAAAAATAATTAAACTCTGATGACGATTATAGGGTCAATTACACTATTCCTTTAGTAAGCTGTGTAGTGATTATCTTATTTGACTTGAAAGTGCCATTTTCACCAATGCACTAGATCAAGTTGTGTTCATTATTGCGTAAAACTAATGTGCATCTCAAAGGGTTAAAGAATAATTTTTGAGTAGTAACAAGTACAGACATTCTTCGTTCTTATTATTCAGCCTGATTGTTATAAGAGAAGACAATTAAAATACGTGTAATATGATGTTTCTCGTTTAGCATGCCAACCTCTAGTACAAATGTAGAACAATAGGGACTGCTAAACGTGGCAAAGTAGGGATTTTAGAAGGATCAAGACTATTCACCTTAAACTTCTGGCCAGTCAGCTCAAATAGTTCTTACGACCCCACTAGGTAGTAATATCCCAAACTGGTTGACGATTATAGCCAGGTCACTATGTAGTCCGGCCTCAATAGCTTCTGCTACATATGGGAGTGATTTAAGGAACCCAATGTTTCCTCCTTGTGTTCAATGTTAAAAGTGCTTCCTAACAACCATCATCGCTTTCAGTTGTTTTTTAAGTAGTCACCGTAAGATTCCGTTGTTTCTAGTATATGCCCAATCTGATCAAAGATTCTCCTAAAAAGAATAATGAATCTAAAACTAAGGCATTTCATCTATTTCTTACACCTGAGACAGCTAATCTAAGAAGAAACCAAGAGCAAATCATTGGTGACTGCGAGTTTGTTTCGTTACACTTTATGCAATAACAGAAGACGCGGTATAAGTCAGTTCTGTTGAAATGTCCGGAGCAAGTTTGAATATTCCTAGTGGTAAACATAACTTAGTCGACTTCACCATATGCAATTACTACTGAGGAACAACATAATGGTCACGCTGAAATAAAGCAACGATATCTGATTTCGCAGTGGGAGCGTGTGATAACAAAACAAAGGAACACTCATCATTCGTTTGCGTAAAACTGAGTAAAATGTAATCACAATTTATTGCTTCTGTCACACAAAAATTCACATGCCAGTAGTAAATTCGGTCCCGAATAGACCATGAAAAGGTTAGAACAAGAGCCAGTCAGCCTAAGAAGCCAAACAAAAGCAGTAAGAAAGAGTAAATCTAAACACTAAGGTATGTCTCTTTATTTCGATGCGGTTACTCCTGAAGAAAGAATCAGGTAGATGCTTTGATCTTATACTGTTATCTAGAAGACCTACTCAAGAAGCTGATTCGACACTGTCAATATTTGTTTAAGTCATTCATTCAACACTTTAATTGTTCATCAAATATTTGAGTTAATCAGCATTTGTGTTCTGATATCGTGATATATTTCGCTATGGAGGGATATGATTCTAGGAAGCCTCCGAGTGTTCGAGTAACCGTTCTAGAAGATCCAAACAGCAGCCTTCAAGAACTTTTCAATCCCGCCTCCCAGAGGCAACAGGTTCCTTTACATCAACGTAATCTACCAAAATCTTTTTTCGTTCCACCTGGAGATGTGAATGACAATTCTCGACTTTCCAAGCTTAACTCTGTACACAGCAACGAAAGAAATTCTGCAGATTTTGTGGTGTTCCATAGTAAAGCGAATTCATCTCCAGCCTGTTTGGATGCTGCACTTAGAACGTCTGTTTCTGCAAATGTTCCTAATCACAGCCATCAAAAAAGTCTTGATGTTGCTTCCAAATACAAGACGGAATTTAGCCCAGATTTTGCTTTCTCCGGTTCGTGTAGTCCGGGATTGTTTCAGGGACAAAGGTACATCGTCCTATTTACTGATATGACATTTGTCGTAGAAACTCACAACAAACTGCACTACTTTATGGACCCACCATGACGTTTGCTATAAGCGAGCTTCCCGTTGGATATGACATGGCGATAAATGAGAGTAATCAGGTATATTTTCTAAATCATCAAACACAAGAAACCACATGGTATGATCTTCCATGCTTTACTAATTTTTGTGAAGGTTTGATCCTAGAATACCAGAAAAGTTCCAGAAGTGGGGTATGACTCCAGAAGAACTAGAGCAAGTGCACTTACGCTACGCTAAACAATTTTTATGCACAATCCCGTCTTCGAATTTGAATGTATGTGTTCAACAGGTTGGTGAATTTATTAAGATTTTATATGATATGTCTGCACGATAACAATAGTCGTGAAGTCACTTTTCATAAAACTAACATAAAACGAGTAAGGAAGTTTAATATTTGCAATATTTTGGCGGTTATGGGAGTCATGACTTTTATTGGTCTTGGGCTTAATGAAGCACAAATACTTATATATGATCGAAGTTAAACGTAATATTTATTGTAGCTTAGTCCGATAGATTTATTTACTAAATATGCATCAGCGTCTTACTTAATTCAGCGGTTTTAAAAATTCCGTCTCGTGTCGAAAACCTATAAATTTAAAATGAGCAACGTTGGGTTCTAATAGACGAGAGACAGAGAGGATGTTCTCCTCGGTTACTCGAAATGTCATTTGATGTAGTTTTAACTAGTTCCTACTTTTTACATCAATATATATATATATATATATATATATATATATATATATATATTCAGTCGAATACAACTGTTACAAAATGTTGGTCGAGTAACTTAATATTTTATAACGTGAGCTACACTTTTAGGCAGACTTGCTTTGAGAAGATACCAAATACCATCTCCATCAGTGTTGATAAAACCGAACTAAAACACCATGTAATGATGCTGCAAGTCGATAACGTACGTTTGGCCATGCGATCATTCCTGCTCATGAGGTTTCTATAATATAATAATAGAACGTTTTCATCCAAAGATGCGGTATTTTGCTGGAAATTGGTCCATTATATGGATACTTACCAGGTCCAATCATTTTTAGTCGGGCGATTCAAGCACGTTTGTGAAGATTTTGATATTTTCACATGATTTTTGCATTACATAACTAATATTAATTTAGTTTGACATAAACACTCCTTATATACGATTGAAATTGAGTTGTGAACCTAATAATAATAGTAAAATCAATCCATACCAGACGAATAAAAACCGTTAACCATTCTTAATTCAACAAACCGTATATATGAATGTATTTTAAATGTGCAAGGTTTTTAACTACGAAAAATCCTGTCAAACCGAATTTTTCATGCAGTTATTCATGCATAAGGTATGTCATCAAGAGAGGTATGAATGTTTTTGAACAACCTTTCACTAAGCATTATATATTTTAATGCAATAAAAAACCACTTCACTTATTTTACTACTTAGATCAAACGATATACATATTACTTTTTAGGTTATTTTCTGGTTTGTTATACATAATAAGCTTTTTTATGGTATTTTTGGTAAATAAGAACTATCAGTTTCACAAATTAAGAAATATTAAACCTTTTTATGAAGAACTGCTTAACTGGTCTGAGACTCTGAATCACACTTTTACACACATTCTTTTACTCACATTACCATTTAAAAGTTACAGCTATAAAGATCCTTAAGTATTGTTTACTAGTGAGATAAGAATAATTTGATATCCCTATTACTGACCACTTGATACATAATGCGCTTATGACCGAATGATCCGTAGTCCATCCACAAAATAAATATATTTGTTTTACTATGTATTAATCATGATGTAAAAAATGTATTTTATTTGCAGGAAAATAATTCGTCCATAGTAAAACACAATATATACATCATATGGTGTTTCAATATTCTGAAAATACTAAAACGTAGTTTTCCACTCTTTAAGATCAATACTCTGTAGTGTTTGTGTACTGATTGGCTTTACAGAATCATTCGATTACTCAAGTATATGCAAACTACGAACAAATAAAATAATCTTTAGATTTACTTCTTGAGTTGTTAAATTAAAAACGAAAATCTAGTCGGTAAAAAGCCTTAAGCAAAACGACATCGACTTTACTTAAGTTTTCTATCAAAATACTTTGAAATAAATCGTCGCTTCATAATAATCAAATGAGACAAGCTAAAATCACCGTACATCTAGTAGTAGTGTATCAAAACTACGAAAAAAAGATCGGAGATCTAAATTATTTATAAACTCTCCCCAAGTTTGTCTTTACGTAAATTTTTTCATACATTATAGCATTTACTTAGAAATTATTGTATATCTGTATAAACTGTAAAATGTAATCACATTTCTGGCACGAATTTCTAATCAAGTAGATCCTATTGTCTAAAAAAAGATTCATACCAACCAAATAGATTTGGTCAAGACTTCCACGTTCTTACATCTGACCTAATTTATTAGTGCCCAACAGCATACATTTTTGTCCTGTAATTACATCTAGCTAAAATGAGCAATTTTACAGTACATTTACCGTGTGGTTTGTAATTTTACAAACTACTAATTTTAAAATCTACTATTCAAGTTCCTACTCAGTCTTCATTTCAATTTTTGTAAGTTTTTATGCCCATGATTGTCATGTGGGGATCCTTTCAAATAACAACTTTTAAGGTTAGCTTATGTATTGTTGTGTGACAATGTTCTAATTTCTACATTTTTTATCGATTTCTCGGAGAGTCTTGAACTTCAGTGGAATAATCTGAAACAGAATTTGCACTCACCTGTTTGTTGGTTAAACAGTTCTTCCCTTAGTTTGTCGTTCTTGCGGCCGATTCTATGGGAATCGGGAGTTTAGGAAGAGTATTTTTTTAACTATCTTTAGCTCTAAATATATCAATACCTCCACAACTTTGTTATACAGATCTAGTCTGATAATTAGTGGAAGAAAACTCTAAGGCAAAATTTTGCTTAAGCTGGAATACTATAAAATATTCAATGTTAGACCATTCTTAAGCTGACTTGACACATTATTGGTGGGTTAGATATTTTGTCATTATATAAACCATTTGACTGAAATTTTGTTATCCAAACCCACTCCTTTAGTTGTACAAAATAGTCTTAGATCAGAAGAATTACAACAACGGATTCAAGCAGATGAGTAGGCATATCTGTTAAACCTTTGTTTATAAACTGTAATTCATTTAAACTATTATTACCACGCAATGCTTACACAGGAATATAAAAATGGTAGTAACTGACAAGTTTTCCCGTTGAATACATATTTTACTTTATATGGTTATGGGTCCATGCTTTTCTGTTTTACCCAACATGTACACTATAATTTTAAAAACATCACAGCTGTATTTAAATTAATTCTAGCTGAAACCTAAAAAGTCGTATTTTGACTGAAGTAATGATTATGATAAAGGGACATAATAGTAGTTGGAAAAGGATCATGATATACCACAAGTTTATTGTAGGTGAAATTACAAACCATTAGATTCTAATCAAGTCGGTAAAAGATTTTATTCTCAAATAGAGGGGTGAATATACCACATTTCATCTACAAAAAGCCTTTGAGTCAATATTATTTAGGAATCCTAATCTGGAACTGAACACTCTCTAATCACCCCTGTTCTTTCTGACGATTTTTGAGATGATTTCGAATCTCAATATTAGGGTCATTTTTATAATAGTGCAAACTGTGAGCTGTATTTCCAGTTGACAAATACTGAAGTATGTGTCATTTTTAAGTCTAAACAAATCAGGTTTGATAATTCACTAGATATAATAATTTGTCACAAATCCATTTTTTTAATAAGTGTGTAAGTTAAGTAAATTATGCTTATTTTCTTGATTCCTAAATTCGACAAATAAATACTGACTTAAAAATACCAAACAATGTTTTTGAACAGACCACTTTATTTAATTTACGTCATAACTTACAATTTAGAAACTAATATGTTGCCTTAAATATAAATTAGAGTTCCTTTAAAATGTGAAGCTCACAAATGTTATGTTATCAAATTGTTTGATCAGACAGCTTTGTCTAAACTGTGTAAACATTATGCTTTGGAAAGTTTTAGAAGTCAATACTTTTACTCATGATCATGCAAGGATATTCAAACTGAAGTTTCATGCTGTCTAGTTTTCACTAGTGGTAAAATTCTATCAATGATGATTTAACCAGAAGTTTACTTCACTCGTTTATAGTTAATAATTTATTCACTGGCGTCACATACAAATGTGCTAGGATTTTATTACAGCAGAGTTATATGAAAAAACGAAGTGTAATTTACCTTCAATGAAGTAGAACTTTTTATTCCATAAGTGGAAATCAGTAATTAGTATGTTGGACTTATTCAGTTGTAAGATTAAAAAATTTAAATGAAGCAAAAATGACTATTCACGAACTATCTTATTTATTTAGCTTACTTTATGTGGCTTAACTTAGCACAAACCATGCTTCTAATTCCAAAATGACTATACGTTCCCCCAAAATTCAAGGCACTCATCGTTGACGAGTGTCAGTTCGTACATAATCTAGGTTCAGAGAGTCCTCCCGGCTGCCTTCACCTAACTAACATGAAAACAAAGTGCGCACAACGTCTAGTCTCTCAGACCCCCAGCCATATTGCAGGAATTGAATCAGTATTAAAGACTAGAAAAATAGGACTATTCAGTGACTAATCATTGTAAGTACAGAATGTAGATGTTAGAAAGTGTTCACATTGTTAAATCAGATGTTTTATTCCATGTAGGTTTCCTAATATCCAATTTTTCGCACATTTCGTACATAATAAAATATTTGATTTTAATAATAACAGTAAGCTTGCTAAGTCATCTTCAATCTACCGAATAATTCTGTATATGCTTTCCAAACAGAAAAAGGTGAACAATATTTATAGCATATTCGATTTTGGTAACAGTCACAATAAGTCTAACTAATCATTTCTCATGAATATTTTATTTTATCAGCAAGATATATTTGCAAGTTTTAGTAAACTCATACTTCTTAAAACATATGAACTACTCTGATTCCAAAAAATAAGATGCTTTAACAATCACCCTCGTTAGTATCTTATATCGAAATAACAATTATTGATTTCCTGAGTCAGGAGGAAAATATTGGTTTCGCTATCAACAAACCTTCCCCAAAACTCCCAATGAACATAAAAACTCAAGATATTATAGACAATAGGTTTCTCTAAAATTCTTTTGACTAACCGATGGTTTAGTCAGTATAATAACATTTGGGCTAGTATGGGTTTTTAGCCATAATTGGCATCTCAATGTATTCATCAATATTACCCCG